ACGAGTTGTACAGTATGCGTAGGCACGCTTCTTGCTTGAACGCATTGAGCTTCAAGAGCTCCGTTGTAGTTATGTTACAGGTTTGTCCTTCTGTCGACATTAACAGACCGTCAGTCGATGTTCAAATGCGTCAACGAGCTGAAACGCCTTCGTCCCTCCAGGAGCGACTGTCGTGAAGTACAAAACAACTGCTAGCGCCATTAGAAGCCTTTGCCGTCGAGAGCGTTTGTGTCCGACGGTAATACATCGTCCGAGTTGAAGAATACAGCGTCCAAAGATAAATAGTATCCAGACCAGTATGATGTATGTTCCGTAGAGAATTAGACGTATCGGTTTACCGATGGTCATTGGGACGTAGAAAAGAAGATAACATGCTGTCACGACAAGGTACAGGCTGAAAATGAAAACCGCTATTGCTCTTATCGGCCAGCATTTTGGAAAGCAGAGAACCTGCACGCAGATCGATGTTTACACAAAAGTCCAAAGCACGGCAAACTGTTTCCACCGTAGCCACTTCTCGTCCTGCGCTCCATTNCAGCATGACGCGATAGTCCTGGAGTGTATATTCAGGTGGAAATGTGGCCACAACTTTCCGCTCCTGGTCGCCGTAGTGCTTGCAGGACTGGTCCGTACAGATTTCGAAGGTAACATTGTTACACTAGACTCCTTTATCGGAGCAGGTCATCTGTATGAGGGGTGTGTGAGGAGTTGCTGTAACTCTTAAGTAGCTTACGGTCATCAGGTAGAAAAGGAACCATCTTCTGAATATCTCACTGCGTCGGGAAGAAGACGTCGCTGCCGCATCTATAATCTTCGGTCGAGTAGGGCGTGGTCGAAGATTATAATTATGTGTTTGTGCCGATGGATCCTTGCTCTTTCCAGAAAGGGTAGGTTCGTTATGTCTCCGAAGTTGTTGGTAGAGTCTTGATCGTTGGCAGAGTTTTGAACCTCTAAAGGTATCAAGAGGCTGACTGATCTTCGGATCTTCTTTTCGAAGGTGTCATCAACTCCACTTCCCGAATAGCACCGTCTCTTCCTTGCTTTACTTGACTGACTCTTCCCATCTTCCATTCATTGCCTGGAAGGACAGGATCAGAGACAAGTACAACGTCGCCCACCAGGGGGGTCAACTGGCCTTGCCGTCTGACGATTGGTGAACGCTTGTGGGTTTCGCGAAGATTGGTCAAGTATTGTTCATGCCATATTTTCCAGAAGTTCTCTGTGAGCTGGCATGAAGTGCGTAAGGCCTCCACTACCTCGCAACGTGTCTGAATGGCACGAGCCTCCGGTGGGGAAAGGTAGTCCGTGTCATCTGGATGGATTGCTAATAGGTTGGCTGCATCACCACCAGATCCTTTTGTATGTAATCGATTAGATGAATTGAGGTGAACTCTTCATGTGTCGCACTTTGATATGTAAGCGGTCCGGAATTGAGGCATGCTTCAATTTCTGTGAGTACCGTGCGTAGATGGTCGTCTGTCCGATGTTGGGCACCTCGCAGTGCCTTGTAGAGGGCTTGCTTTACTGACTTGATGAGTCGCTCGTAGAAACCCCTTGCCGTGGGGCATAGGAAGTGATATAGTTCCACTGGATCTCCTTGTCACTTATAGCTTTGAGAACATTTCCTTGCTGCATGGTTCCTTCTGTGAGAATTCTTGCACCGAGCAGGAATGTATCGCACGTGATTGACACGGGAACCCCTCTTGGAGCCACAAATCGACGCAATGCGTTTATGACATCTTCCGTGCTGAAACTGAGAATCATTTCCAGATGGATGAGGCGCGTGACTGCACACGTGAAGATGCAGCCGTAGGATTTCTTTGCATGTTTCGTGGTAGAAGGAGAAGGCAGATCGAAAAAAATCCAATCCGATGTGTTCAAAAGGGCGGCTGCGTAGTATTCTGCGGTCTGTCACACACTGCTGTACAAGTTTCCGCAATTGTTGACGTAGCTTTGGTATCCAGTATTGTGTGCGCACTGTTGCCATGGTATGTTCCACTCCTCGATGATATGTCCCGTGGGCTTCATCGATAATCAGACGGGTGAGTGAAGAATTTGGAGCAATAATGATGGGATTTTTGGCCTCTTGTGTCAGTGAGGCAGACCCAAGCCTTTCTTTCGAGCGCCAAATGTTCTCACTGTCAGAAACAAGGCGCAGAGTATTCTCCATAGACTTCCGATAGCTGGTAGTAAGGTAGATGTCTTGGTGATTCCGGATCAGTGCCCATCTTGCTGCGCGTATATGGGATCCATTGATTGCTGTATGGTCTTCAGGAATCTCATGCAGCACTTCCACTTTCTCCATGGTTGCATTAATCCCTGATGTGGGAAGCGTCTTCACAAGTTTCTCGAAAAAATTAGAGCGATGACTGTCACTCGTTTTGCACGGGAATGAAAAAACGTGCTGAATCGTGTGAGGTCGATTAAAGGTGCCGTTTTCAAAGGAGTATCTGATTCGATAGATGTCACCACGACATTTTCCAGCTCGTTGCTGGTGTCTTCGTAGAGATGGTATACTGGGTGAGTCCACTGATGCGGTGGTTCCCGTAGAAACTTCGGACCTGACCACCATGAGTGACTTTGAAGTTGGTCTTTTGGCAGACCCCGTGTGCCAGCATCTGCGGGATTTTCTTTTGTGGCGATGTATCGGAATTCAACGGACAAGCCATCCTTGCGTAGGGCGAAGACGATTTTTTCTATCTCTTTCATCCGGTTGCTCACTAAACGTCCCAGGCCTGTGCTATGGTTGACGAGCTGAGCCAGGCTAGTACGATTCGCGAGTCGGAGAAGATGCATACTCTTGGCGTTGATATCACTCTTGATTTTATCGCGTGCCATACAGAGTGCACTAGCCGACAAGCTAGTGTTAGTGCGTTTACTTCCAGCTTCGGTACTACAGCGTTTTTGATCGTATTGAAGGTAGCTTACATTTCCCCATGGCAAGTGCGACTCCGGTCTCATTGAATACATAAACACTAGCCGCAATGGCTATGGTGCTTGCATCGGCAAATGCAGCTAAGTTGTAGTTGCTGCCTCCCTTTAGAAATTCTCTTGGAAAAAATCCCTGAAATCCATCAATGCTGTGTGCAATGGCTGTCCATTCTTCGTATAGGTCGTGGGGAAGGTTCTCATCCCATGCGAAGTTGTGTTTCCACAGCTTTTGCTGAAAGCATTTGGCTCTGGTAAGGAGTGGAGCAAGCCACCCCAGAGGATCGTATATAGAGGCTATTCTTCTGGCTACTATCCTTTTTGTAAGCGTTTCGTCTCGTGGAAATATACAGCGGATGGCAAGCGTATCGTTTTGAGCATCCCACATTATGCCGAGAACTATTT